ACATCGCGTTTCCCCGTTTTTTATCCCCGCGGCCGAGGCGCGAGTTCCTCCGACTCCGCGTCGGGAAGATCGCCGTTATCGCGTCGTGTGCGTATCCTCCTTACCCGTAGTTAATCCCTTCGCTCTGCTTCGCTTCGCATCGCGGAGAACGCTTTGCACGCTCGGGGCCGCGGCGAACGCCGGGGGATCGTCCGTCACGAGGTTCGCGGAGCGAGAACATACATTGCATTTAGAGTGGTTACAATTGCAAAACAGCCGCCGTGGCTTTTAACTCCAACCAACTTCGCAATCGATCTCTCTTCTCAAAGGTTTCTGGAATTTTTTATTATTACTATTATTATTATTATTATTATTATTATTTAACACTCGATGTCTTCACGTCCCCGTTTCTCTTAAGTGTTTGATTAATGATTGAGCATTGATTAATGATTGTCAGCGCCGGTGACGACAATAACAACCGCGATAATGACAATAATAATAGATAATGACCGGCATCTTTTTACCGGCTCTAACTATGCAGATGCACGTTGCGATATTACCATGGAGAAACGCATCGCCGCGGGTACGCGTCGCTCACGCGGCGAGAAAAACCGTGGAGAACGATTAAAAGTCCAGGTCGAGGAGCTCTCGTGCGCTTAAGCGCAGCCGGTCGTGGCACGTGAGCGGTGCTCGTACTCACGCACGCACGCACGCACGCACGCACGCACGCACGCACTCACTCACTCACGCACGTGCGTGAGCGCGATGATTTACACGGTACGCGGATTTAGAACGTACCCGCCGGTTGCTCCTCGGGCATGCTTGCGTGCGTGCGTGCGTGCGTGCGTGCGAGTCGTGCATGTGCCTGAACATGTCGTGCACACGACATTTTAAGCGAGCGTCAAAAATAACATTAGCGTGTGAGATAAAAAAGCTCGTTATGTAATATACGCTGCGTCAAATAGCGCATTATGAAGATGTTCGGGCAGAGAAATTCTGTTTAGTTTAGAACATTATCCAGATCTCGAGTTGAGTACTGTCGCTTTCGTGATGGATCTTATCAAAAGTTTCATACGTCTTTGGGGATATTCGTTAATTTTAATTTAATTCCTCTGGATCTTAATTTCAGTGCTGGAAGAATTATAAATTCGATTATAAGTTCTTCAAAAGTAATTATTTTTTTTTGTTATTATGTTATTATGTTTATGTCCTGATATAGATCTGAATTAAACTCGTACAGGATATTCACGGCCGAGAAAGCACATCCTACCTTCTTTTTTTTTTTTTTTTTTTTTTTTTTTTTTTTCAGTCGCGTCGTTCCGACGCGCCGTAGTTCTTTATAACGAGCGTACTTTTTCGTCGAGCGAAGAACCCCCTTCGCTACTCGGAAAAAGGAAGCGACGTTAATGTCGCGCAACCCGGCTGCTAGACGGTGCGACCATGGAGGACCTTGCCCGTCGTCTGGCCCTTCGTATGTTTGAGTTTAGAAGAATTTAGTTCCAGGAACGACTGCAAAGGGTTTCGCCAGTAATTCATTTCCACGTGCTGATCATTTCGCGTCGCCCTTGTCTAGCACGAGGAATATCCCCTTCTCGTTCCCTCCTTCCAAATATAGAATATTTTTAGGACAATTTTTTTAAGGATGTAATCAAACAAAATTTTATAATATTGGATATTAAGTTTCGCATATATCAAAATTAGATTTTTAGCAATGTTGAGTGAATTTTGAATTCTGACAATTATTGAAAAAAAAAAAAAATAAGTACGAAGATTCTTATACAATTGAATAATACGAGCGTTCCTAGGCGCAAAGCGACACTTCGGGGCGTAAGGTCGTCGTTCCCCGCGCGAGCTATTCTCTTCCACGTATTACCGTGCTCGTTTTGCCCGTGGCGACCAGAACATAATGAGGGAAGCGAGAATAGTCCTTAGAAAATGAAGCAAGGAGAGTCGCTGCGGGAAAAGAGGCCTCTGAGCGAGATGACTGACGAACGTCGCTAATGAGAAGAGCGCGTGCGTTCCGTATTTTCCTCCTTCCTGAACCGCACCTTTGAAAATTTGGTTAACGACTCAAGGGGCGAACAATGAGTCTCTTCTCCGAGTCTTGCTTCCACATATTTTTTTTTTTTTTTGTGTACAAATCGCCCGAGATGCTTCCTTTTTTTTTTCTCCCACAAAGAACAGCGAGAGTAGTCGTGCAAAACGCGGCGCGATCTTCTCGAAAATATTTCAAGCGCGAGATGGGAGGTATTTTCGCCGCGCGTATAATTCCTTGAGAAAAATTGCCGAATATTTGGCCACTCGGATTTTACGATATACCATAAAGCACAACGACACTCTCTCTCTCTCTCTCTCTCTCTCTCTCTCTCTCTCTTTCTAACCGGCAATAGGTGTCATTAAAAAATCGCGGAGACAAAAAGGAGGATGTCGCTCGATGTCTCGGCGGGATGAAAAAGATCCGTCGCCCGACGATCCCCTTTTTAGACCGCCTCGACGTTACCGGCGATTCCTCAAAGAGAGCAAGGAGATGTTCGTTTGGTGTACATCATTCTCCGAATAATATTCTCTTTTCCCTTTTGCCGCGCCGATCCACGAATGTTTGATCTCGCTGGAAATAGGAAACCGGCGAACGCTCGGTTTCTCTGCCGTTTGCTAGGGCGTTGCTTGCGATCCGCGTACGATCGTTCGTATTCAGTGCACGCCAGGCCAGGTTTACGCAATGAGAGCGAAATTTAATTTCTTTTACGATACGAGATAAATTTTTAAATGTTACATCGTAACGTGGTCGTAAATCGTGCGGACATCTAGCGATAAGAGCGACGTACTAGGGACAGTACAAGGAAGTAAGGCACGCACGCAAGTATGTGGAAAGTCGGGTGATAAGCCTACCCTGTAGATAAGAAGAATGCCAACCACAGAGTCGTATTAAACGCGTTAACGCAACGGCAGATGGCCATTGCGATTTCGCGGATAAAAATGTATCACTCCAGACCACGTGCTCGTATATACGTCACCGTACGTGTAGATTTACGCATAGAATTAGATGCGAGCGATTCATCGTCATTAAATATAAATGACAAAACGTTCGCGTTGCGGTATAAATAGACAATCCTTAATATTGTTATTATTCGCGTTGAATTTGACGATTACGATGAGAAACGACAACGGATTGGACGGATAAACGATCGTTTTTGGCGGTACTCCCTGGCATTTGACGTTCCACGCGAATGCTCGACTCTCGCATCGCGCGATTATGCAATTTATGCGATTATAAGTTTCGCATCGCCTGCAGAGCCGCAACGACGACGGCGCGAAGGTCGTCTCGCTCGGATTCGATTAATCGCCCGACGGGCGTTACCTCGGCCCTGGAATAATTCATGTATCCCCGAGGTGGGTGCAACCAACGACGCCGGCATAGAAAATCGCAGCGCCGATCTGGCGCCTAGTCATCGAGGAGATGTCAGATCGATCTACTCTGCGATGCATACCAATCGATGCATCCGTTCTTCACGTTCAGGAAACTCGGACGCGCCGCCGGGGCCCAGGCCTTTGTCTACCTCGCGTACGCTTCGTTCAATCTCGATCCCGTCCCGATTTGCATGCGAATTAATCCGATGCTAATTTGCCCGCGCGCGTTGCGCTCGCGTTGCGCCGAGCGTAGAAGTTTTACCCTTCCGCGGATAATTGCCGGAGCTATTCGCACGCGGATAATACTTTGGGATACAAGTCCGGATTCGTCTTGGGAATGGGAAACGAGCCGAAACACGTTCGTTTAATATTAGTTAAAGATACGAAATTACGTTGTAATAGCTAATAAAATTTATTAACATTCTCACGGAGGGGGCTCTCAATTTTGTTGCTGTATATACATGGACAATGTGTGTAAGTGGAAATATTAAACAGTCATATTTCTTAAATCTTTGCGGCGTATCTTCTACCGATATTTCGAACCAGTATAATCCGCTTGATTTAGATATTATATTCTATCCGTTATTTCAAACGGTCGATATATTTACAGTCGACTCTCTCTCTCTCTC